TTGTGATGTTATCATGCCCTGTGATTGGCCAAAAGCATTGCACCTGACCTGTGGTGAGGTGCAATGCTTTGGCCAATCACAATGCATTGTCAGGGTGCAGTGCATTCTGGGGCATGGCGGGTGAATGGCCACGTTCAACTCAAACATGCAGCCCATCACTAAAGTAGAGTGAAATAGGCAAACTTTTTTTTTTTTTTTGTAAATAGTAAGGAAGGGTTATAACCCCTGTCAGGTTTGACATCTGTGTCACACTGGGGAGATTTCCCTTCATTACTTGTCCCATAGCCAAAACATGCAGTTATTATTATTATTATTACACAGGATTTATATAGAGCCAACAGTTTGCTCAACGCTTTACATTTTAACGGGAGCAACAATACAGTTCAATACAAGAGGGATTTGAGGGCCCTGCTCCTTGGAGCTTACAATCTAGGAGGGAGGGGTTAGTGGTACAAAAGGTAGTAACTGTGGGGGATGGAGTGGTTGGAAAAGTAGAAGATTCCATTATTAGCTGAGGGCAGGATAGGCTTCCCTGAAGAGATGGGTTTTCAGAGATCGCCTAAAAGTGAGCAGAGTCAGATAAATTGGGGTAGCGAGTTCCAGAGGATGGGGGAAGCTCTGGAGAAGTCCTGGAGACAAGCATGGGAGGAGGAGACAAGGGAGCTAGAGAGCAGGAGGTCTTGCGAGGAGCGGAGAGTACGGTTTGGGTGATATTTGGAGACAAGATCGGTGATGTAATTTGGGACAGAGTTATAAATGGCTTTATACGTTATTGTTGATGTTTTGAATTTTATTCATTGGGCAATGGGAAGGGGAGGGAGTGATGGTTTGTATTATTGATCTTGATGGAGACGTCAGGGGAGGGGGCACGGGCTGGGGGGAATACTAAGAGCTCAGTTTTGGAAAGATTGAGTTTGAGGAAGTGGAGTGACATCCATGCCGATATGCAGTGAGATGAAATGCCTTCAAAGTGAGAGGATCCCTGAATGTGACCAGTGTCCCCATTGGAAAATGTACCCTCTATTACTGTTCTGAGGACAACCCGAAATGTGGGATTTTCTTTTGCTTTCACTTTCAATGGTAACAGAAAACAGGACAAATAGAGAGAGCGAATCCCCCCAACAGGGCACAGACAGCAATAAAAACCCAACAGGTGATCTAATCCTTTCTACTCTATACAAAACTAAAGAAACAAGTTTGCCTTTAGTTATAACCTTAAAAATTGTTACTAAACCCAGGACCCTGCATTCACTATATCTGGTCTCCCGGACCCCGCATTCATTATATCTGGTCTCCCGGACCCTGCATTCATTATATCTGGTCTCCCGGACCCCGCATTCATTATATCTGATCTCCCCGGACTCTGCATTCACTATATCTGGTCTCCCCGGACCCCGCATTCATTATATCTGGTCTCCCAGGACCCTGCATTCACTATATCTGGTCTCCCCGGACCCCGCATTCATTATATCTGATCTCCCCGGACTCTGCATTCACTATATCTGGTCTCCCCGGACCCCGCATTCATTATATCTGGTCTCCCCGGACCCCGCACATCACTATATTGGTCTCCCCGGACCCCGCATTCACTATATCTGGTCTCCCCGGACTCTGCATTCACTATTTTTTTGGTCTCCCCGGACCCCGCTTTCATTATATCTGGTCTCCCAGGACCCCTGCATTCACTATATCTGGTCTCCCCGGACCCCGCATTCATTATATCTGATCTCCCCGGACTCTGCATTCACTATATCTGGTCTCCCCGGACCCCGCATTCATTATATCTGGTCTCCCCAGACCCTGCATTCACTATATCTGGTCTCCCACAGTACACACAACATGGAAATGCAATTATTTTAGTAAATATAAATTGCTAAATACCTTTTCTCATCAGCAGTTAGAGCAGTTGTGACTTCAGCAAAGCACTGGTTAAAGCTTATAGGAGGAGTTTTCTTTCTGCTCTAGGAGGATATAGAAGCCCTGACCTCTGTCTGGACCGTGCTGATTGGCCCTGTGCTAATCACATGCACTCTCCCAAGAAAACAAAAACCTCTCTAGCAATACACACCAAACTGAGCATGGGTATGTGACTATGTATTCAGTATGTATCAGGTGGACATTTCAACAAGAGGATGGGCAGATAAGATAGGATCAAACAGCCTTTTAACACAATGCAGAGGATTAACTCCTTAGGTTCCACAGTGAGTATAACAAGCATGCTTTACTGCATATACAGACTGATTTTACTATTGTGCGTTTATTAACACTTTAAGGAGGCAGAAGTTGATACTGTGGGGTTGGTTTACTAAAGGCATATAAACTTTGCGCTGTGCAAAGTGCAGTTGCTCAGAGCTTAGTAGATGAGCAGAAGTTCTGCTGACTTTCATCATCCAATCATGTGCAAGAAAAATGCAATTTTTTTATTTTCCTTGCACGTTATTGGGTATTCTTTGCAAAGTGAAGCTTTACCTCATTTATTAAACTCTGAAGCACTGCAAAGTGCACGGTCTATTTTTCTTTAGTAAATCAACCCCCGTATCTGTTCTAGCTTGCTTTTTGTATATTTACTACTGGTACCCCCTCACTGCAGGGACTGCCTAGACTCTAGGGAATGAATGGAGTCCAGTCAACGCACAGCGCATTCTAGGTATGTGTCCCCCCCAGAGATTTCCTGCTCACATCACTGACTGTGATATCATATTAGATGTAATATCAAAATCATTCACCATATAATTATCATATCAAAATGGTTTATAACAGTGGGTGGGTGGATGAAGGAGACTTCCAAATGAGCCAGATAAAAGGTAATAAGTTATATACGGCATATTTTAGCTGTCCAAAGTGCAAGGAACTATTACAATGGAGAAAATGTTATATTTTACCATTAAGTTAAAGTGGGTGTCTGCTGGTACTGATTGTTTTCTGTGATAAAAATACATTTTAAAAAATGTCCTCTCCAGATTAATCCTTGGGTTCCAACAGTAACGCCATGATAGTCATATGCTTATGTAAGTGAATGCAATGTAATTGTGATTTATAAACAAATGAAAATCTGTGAAAATGTTTCCATTGTGATCATAGGTGTCCTCCCTAATCCAACTTCGTTATGCTAACAAACAGCATAAAACACTTCTTCTGCGCATCGCCAAGTAGAGTCGAAAGAGGAGTAAAGCAAATGTTTACTTTGAGTTTTAGCATTCCACTATGTTACATAAAAACCACACTTACACTTCTGTGATACTTTAACCACTAGCCTACAGGGCACTTCTACCCCCTTCCTGCCCAGGCCAATTTTCAGCTTTCAGCGCTGTCACACTTTGAATGACAATTGCGCGGTCATGCAACACTGTACCCGTATGAATTTTTATCATTTTTTTGAAACAGATAGAGCTTTCTTTTGGTGGTATTTAATCTCCTCTAAGTTTTTTATTTTTTGCTAAACAAACCAAACACCTCTGAAAATTTAAAAAAAAAAACCTGTTCTTTCTTAGTTTTTGTTATAAAAGTTTGTAAATAAGTGATTTTTCTCCTTCACTGATGTGCGCTAATGAGGCTGCAGTGATGGGCACTGATAGGCTACACTGATAGGTGGCACTGATGGGCACTATCACGGCCCACGGTTGCCGCCACCAACAGGCGACAATCGCACAGCCACGACTAACAGTAATACGTCACGCCCACGTAGTCAGACCCCAGACCTTCTCACCAAACTCGTGACCAAAGGGCCGGCCGATCCAAAACCGCGTGTGTGACGCGCGTAACAAGGCCCCACCCAGCTGCACCCTACACAGCGATTGCCCAGCAAATGGTCTACAATCTGTGCCTGCAGCCTGAATGTTACCGGGTCGGGTTAATTACGCAACTAACCCTCTACTGCCACCACCACTTTTGTCGGAGACTGGGAAACTCCCATTATCAAATATACACTATAATGATTGAAATATTGATCTATATAGCACGGCCCGCGGACCTGCTATACAGAGATATAACAAATAGTAGCGTCTCTTCAAAGGCAGGGATTCGTGAATTGCAAGTAAGCGCTTAGAAACAGTTTAACACTTTCAGGAAGAAAGATTTATTTCTAACAGGGTCAAAACAGGTGCGATAAAATATTTACAAGGAGATGTCACAAATATATATATATATGTATATAAAGACACAGCAAAGAGATAATTAGGAAGAAGATTACAGGGTTAAGTTACTTGCCCATATGCCTGGGTTTGCAGTCCAAGTTGAGAGCAGGTGATTTCTTGATCTCCTTTTGTTACCGATGTTGCTGGGGAGATCTCTGTGTGTGTGAGTGACAAGCTCTAACTCTCTTGAAAGTCCCTCTCAAGGGGGAGGGGGGGGGGTTCTGACTACACGTTTTGGGAGTGGTCATTGGGGAACTCTAAACTACCAGCTTCATATCCCATGATATGAACCATACAGTTGACCTGAGGAATGTTCAGTTCTCAGGTCAGTTTGATAAGGTGTGGGGCTTACATAGCTTTGGATGACCAAAGTGACACGTTCGTAGACAGCCCGTCTCCACTTCTCATGTCTTAAGTTATTCCACATCATCTGCCAGGAGATAAAGTCTGCCTCACAGGAATGCAAGGGGGGGATGTGAGGAATGATTCGAGGAATACCTCAATTACAGCAAGGAACAGGGGAACTCCGCTTCCAGCTCTGATGAGCTAGTTTGTTACAAAAGCAAAGGTTGAAGGAGAACTCCACTTCCGGCTCTGAGGAGCTAGTTTGCTACAGGCACTGATGAGGAGGCACTGGTAGGTGGCACTGATGGACATTGACAGGCATCACAGATGGGCACTGAAAGGCAGCACTCATATATGGCACTGATAGGTGGCACTTATAGGCGGTACTGACTGGCATTGATAGGCGGCACTGACTGGCACTGTTAGGTGGCACTGACTGGCACTGTTAGGCGGCGCGGATAGGCAGCACTGATGGGCACTGATAGGTGGCACTGACTGGCACTGATAGGGGGCACTGACTGGCACTTATAGGGGGCACTGATTGGCAGCACTGATAGGTGACACTGAAAGGCAGCTCAGATGGGCACTGATATGTGGCATTGATGTGCACTGGTGGGCACTGATATGTGGCATTGATCAGGCACTGATGGGCACTGGCAGGTGGCATTGATGGGCACTGATAGCTGGCACTAATGGACACTGACAGGTGGCACTGCTGGGGCTACACTGCTCATCAGGGCACACTGATCATCAGTGCCCTGATGATCAGTGCACATGTCCCCTCTGAGGAATGCTGATTACCGGCTCTCCTCTCCTCTCGAGCTGTCAGCGTGACAGCTCATGAGGAGAGAAATGCCGATAACCGGCATTCTCCTATTTACATGCACATCACATGACCGAGCCAACATCTTCGACTCTTTCCATTGATTGGTGATCCGCTTTGTCCAAGGGACACAGCACACCACTGATCGCAGCGCTGTGTGCCCCCGGAGCTGCTCATGCACTGTTAGAAATGGGAGGACGTCATATGACATCCTCCCAGAATGAGAGAAATGCCTTGCGCCCATCATTACCTTATATGGCAGACGGGAGGTGGTTAAAGTGGCTGTAAACCCTTACATATATCCAGTGGAATGACTGTCCGATGCACAGAGATGAAACAAATCATTCCTACAGAATTGGTTCTATAGACTTCAATGGAGACGCTGCAGAAAAAGAATGTAGTGCGTGGTCACGTGCCTGATAAGGGGTCTTGTGAGACTCCGAAACGTTGCCTTTCTGTAACTATGTGAAAACTTTGGACCCATATTGGGGATCCTCGATGTGCTGGTGACATTCTCCTTTTGCTGCATTTTTGACACGTTTTTGATGCATTTTGCTTCTTAATCTGCCTAGCAACAAGAAAAATAAATAAAGCAAAAAGGCATGTGCAAAAACGTAAAATGCACCACAAAAAGCACTCCATAAACAGATCAAACACAAACTGCATAGGTGTGAACCTAGGCTTACACACTGCAGAGCTCAGTGAAGATAGTTCTGCAAGCTGATTGGAGTAACGGGGCACTCCCCCTTCTACACAACACACAGGAACAGAGCTGAGGCTGTCAATCACAGGTTGTGTGCTGGAGATCCTTCCCTGTCACTTTGCTTGTCTGAAGTGACTCATGCTGATAGCAGAGGAACTAGGCAGCAGACAGAAATGATACTTAGTGCTCTGGATTGAGACAAGTACACAATATAGAAGGATATGCTTTGTTCAGACCTTCTCAGTTATATTTTGGGATAAATATCTTGGGGGAACATAAACTGTGTAAGCATGTCCGTGGGAAAAGGTACCAAAAAAACTAGGAAATAAAAATAAATGTATCGAAATCTGCTTCAAAATGAAAGCTCCAACTATCAAAGAAACAAAAATGAATAAAATATTAATATTAGTAAACTATGAATGCTTACAGGGATAAGGGACGCAAATGAGACTCTGTGCCCATAGTTTGACACTCACAATACAACACAACTAACAAAACATATTTTACTGTAGTATAAATCCCCCCCCCCCCCCAAAAAAAAATATACTGAATAATATATGATCTCAAAAAAACTCTAATCATCAAGATCTTTTGGTCAAAATGGCATTATTCCAGTCATAAAAAGAGTGGATTTAATACTTCCTATTTTAGCAGATTAGGTAATTGGCTGGATAATCAGATGGGTATTGACTGTAACTTGCAGTTTACCAAACAGGTGGAAGCTTTTTTAACCTCTTGCCGTCCGCCTGCTGTTGATAAACGGCAGGGCAGTGGCACTCCAGGGGCGGGTTGCCGTTCATAAAACGGCACCCGCCTTTTCTAGCTGTGCGCGCTCCCTGGGAGCGCGCAGCACCGCGATCCGTTGCCCGCTGTGTCCTCCGGACACAGTGAAACACCGACCGTCGGACGGGACCTCTGTTCGAGGTCACGATCATGTGATCACTGATTGGCGAATCAGTGATCACATGCAAAGTAGTAAGCAAGATGTCACTTGTGACATCATTGCTTACTACGTGTGAAATCTGTGAATGATCACAGAGGTCACATGGTACAAGGCTATTCACAACAGCCTTGTACCATGTGACAAGCTGTGACCAACCACAGCTCACTCAGTACTTCTCAATGACTACAAGAATGCAGACAGAGAGAAAGAGAAATGATTGCTTTTACATCCTATATGGGTGTAAAAGCAATCAGTATAAAAGAAAAAAAAAAATCTTCATCACCCCCCACAAGTAGTACAGTGTCACCATGGTGACACTGTACTGCTAGGGTGACAGTATGTAAAAAAAAATTAAAATAAAAAATAATAATATAAAAAAAATAAAATAAAAATGTAAAAAAAATGTTTAAAAATTATAATTTTTGGTTATAAACTAATTTGGATTTTTTTTTTTTACTAAAAAAATAACGGAATAAATTTTGGACAAGATTTATGATGAAATATTATTTATTTGCAAAATTTTATTTAAAAAAACACTTTTTTTCAAAATTTTTGGACATTTTCATTTACATAGTAAAAAAAAATAAAAATCCCAGCGGTGAATAAATACCACCAAAATAAAGCTTTATCTGTCTCCAAAAATGGTAAAAAATTCATATGGGTACAGTATTGCATGACCGCGCAATTGTCATTCAAAGTGTGATAGTGCTTAAAGCTGAAAATTGCCCTGGTCAGGAAGGGGGTAAAAGTGTCCGGACAGGAAGTGGTTAAGACAAGCTTTCACTTCATTGTACTTTTTTGCTTTGGTTTATACTGTGTATTTCTTGTGTTTTCTTTGTAAGAGCTGTGAGAAGCTACCTTTAAATGTGCAATCTAACCACTTGCCCTCCTGAGGATTTACCTCCCTTCCTGACCAGGCCATTTTTTTGCGTTACGGCGCTGTGTTACTTTAACTGACAATTGCGCGGTCATGCAACGCTGCACCCAAATTAAATTTACGTCCTTTTTTCCCACTAATGGAGCTTTCTTTCGGTGGTATTTGATCACCTGTGCATTTTTTATTTTTTTCCACTATGAACAAAAAAAGACCTGCAATTTTGAAAAAAAAACTATATTTTTGACTTTTTTGCTATTAAACATATCCAGTAAAAAAAATTAAAAAATCTGATTTTGTCATAATTTTAGGACGAAAGGTTTTCTGCTACATGTCTGCTAAAAAAAAATCCCCATACGTGTAAATTAAATTGGTTTACGTGAAAGTTATAGCATCTATATATACCAGAATTTATTTTCTTTATACTAGTAATGGCGGCGATCAGAGACTTATAGCGGGACTGCGGGATTGTGGCGGCATTCTGACGCTGGGGGGGAACTGACTAGGTGTCACTGACATCCCCAGTGACACCAATACAGTGATCAGTGCTAATAAAAAGCACTGGAAAACTGTACTAATAGCACTGGGCAGGAAGGGGCTAACATCCAGGGCAATCAAAGGGTTAACTGTGTGCTGTGTGCTGTTTTACTGTGTAAGCACACTGCTTTGTATTGCTCTGCTGGTGCTGGTGGAGAGATCTATAATGTTTACATACAGACCTCTCCTCTGTCACTGTTCCTCGGCAATCAATAGGTGCTGGCAGAGAATCTCCGGGCTGGGACCCAGTGATCAACAGCCGAAGCCACCAATGGTGACGAGGGTAGGGCAGCACACGTGCACGCCCCCTTCCTGTAAGTACAAAATCACATATAAATATGTGATTTTTCACAGCCCTGCCGCCCTGTAGAAGTACTTCTGCTATAGGGTGGTCGGGAAGCAGTTAAAATAAAGTTTATTATTATTATTACTATTATTATTATTAATAATATTAACCACTTGCCTACCAGGCACTTATACCCCCTTCCTTACCAGGCCAATTTTCAGCTTTCAGCGCTGCCGCACTTTGATTGACAATTGCGCGGTCATGCAACATTGTACCCATATGAAATTTTGATCATTTTTTTCTCACAAATAGAGCTTTTTTTTTGGTGGTATTTAATTGCCACTGGGGCGCTTTACTTTTTGCGCTATAAAATAAAAAAGTGCAAAAAATTTGAAAAAAAAAAGTTTATTTGTTTCTTTTATAAAATTTTTCAAACAGGTATTTTTTCTCCATCACTGATGTGCGTTGATGAGGCAGCACTGATGGGCACTGATAGGTGGCACTGATGGGCACTGATAGGCAGCACTAAAGGGCACTGATAGGCAGTACTAATGAGGTGGCACGGATAGGCGGCACTGATAGACAGCACTAATTAGGGGTCACGGATAGGCGGCACTGATATGCAGCACTGATAGGCGGCACTGATAGATGACACTGATTATGGCTACTGATAGACGGCACTGACTGGCATCACTTCTGGGCACTGACTGGCGGCACTGACTGGCACAACCCCTGGGCACTGACTGGTGGCACTGACTGGCAGCACTGCTGGGCTGCACTGGTGGGTGGCACTGGTGGGCAGCACTGGTGGGTGGGCACAGGTGGGTGGCACTGGTGGGCACAGGTGGGTGGCACTGCTGGGCACAGGTGGGTGGGCACAGGTGGGTGGCACTGCTGGGCACATGTAGGTGGCACTTCTGGGCACAGGTAGGTGGCACTGCAGAGTGGCACAGGTGGGTGCACTGCTGGGCACAGGTGGGGGCACTGCTGGGCACGGGTGGGCGGAGCTAGTGGGCGCACTGCTGGGCGGAACTTGCGGGTGTCACTGCTGGGCACCGATCATCAGGGCACTGATCATCAGTGCCCTGATGATCGGTGCCGATCCCCGCTCTGACAACTGCCGGTTCTCGGCAGTACTTTCCTCACGATCTGACAGCGTGAGGAAAGTGCAGCCGAGAACCGGCACTTGCATTTCCCTGTGATCAGCGTGTCATTGGACACCGCTGATTACGTGGTAAAAGGCCGGTATGATCGGCCTTTTACCACATCTCGTGATCAGCTGTGTCCGTAGGACACAGCGATCACGGAGATCGCTGGGTGCGCGCCCCCTGGGGCGCGCAGGAGAGCGCGTTCTGGGGGGACGTCATATGACGTCCACCCAGAACTGGCCGGCCGCAGTGCAGCCGTCATTCGGCTATCTGTGGTCGGCAGGTAGTTAAAGTTAGAATTGATAATGTAAAACAGGTTCAGGCTGGCAAAGAGCATGCATATACTGCAGAATAATACAAAACAAATTCTGAAAGCTACACAAACATGGACTCCTTGCAATGTCTCTATGACTCACATTACAGTCTCTTTAGGATTCTAAAACAACAGTCAAGCCGAGAATCACTACTTCAATAAAACAGTTCAAAGCACAAGCAGCTTATTTTTATCTTTATCTTCCCTCACAGTGAAGTCCATGGTAGTCCTGGTAACACAGGCGAAGAGCTGGAGGGATCCAAGGGTCGATCAGCCAAGAATCCAACATACTTGGGTTTGGATGCTGAATTCCAAACCCTAAATGAAATGTAAGTGATTTTAATAAAGCTCAAAGTGCAACATTAAAATGCAAAATTCCTTTAACCACTTGCCTACTGGACACTTATACCCCCTTCTTTACCAGGCCAATTTTCAGCTTTCAGCGCTGTTGCACTTTGACCATTGCGCGGTCATGCAAGATTGTACCCATATGAAGTTTTTATCATTTTTTTCTCACAAATAAAGCTTTCTTGTGGTGGTATTTAATTGCCGCTGGGCACTTTACTTTTTGCGCTATAAACAAAAAAAGTGCAAAAAATTTGAAAAAAAAAGTTTCTTTGTTTCTATTATAAAATTTTTCAAACAGGTAATTTTTCTCCTTCACTGATGTGCGTTGATGAGGCAGCACTGATGGGCACTAATAGGCGGCACTGATGGGCACTGATAGGCAGCACTGATGGGCACTGATAGGCAGCACTGATAGGCGGCACTGATAGGCAGCACTAATGAGGTGGCACGGATAGGCGTCACTGATAGGTGGCACTGACTGGCATCACTGCTGGACACTGACTGGTGGCACTGCTAGGCATTGACTGGCGCAACTGCTGGGCACTGACTGGCACAACCGCTGGGCACTGACTGGTGGCACTGACTGGCAGCACTGCTGGGCTGCACTGATGGACACTGGTGGGTGGCACTGGTGGGCACAGGTGGGTGGCACTGGTGGGCACAGGTGGGTGGTACTGCTGGGCACAGGTGTGTGGCACTGCTGGGTGGCACAGGAGGGTGCACTTCTGGACACAGGAGGGTGCACTGCTGGGCACAGGTGGGTGGAACTGGTGGGTGGCACTGCTGGGCACCGATCATCAGGGCACTGATCATCAGTGCCCTGATGATCGGTGCCGATCCCTGCTCTGACAATTGCCGGTTCTCGGCAGTACTTTCCTCACGCTCTGACAGCGTGAGGAAAGTGCAGCCCAGAACTGGCAATTGCATATCCCGGTGATCAGCGTGTCATTGGACACAGCTGATCACGTGGTAAAAGGCCGCTGTGATTGTCCTTTTACCACATCACATGTCTGTAGGACACAGCGATCACGGAGATCGGCGGGTGCGCACCCCTGGGGGCGCGCAGGAGAGCGTGTTCTGGGAGGACGTCATATGACGCCCTTCCAGAACTGGCCGGCCGCAGTGTAGCCGTCATTCGACTATCTGCGGTTGGCAAATAGTTAAACAACATGCCTGGGGAAATTACCGCTCACTGTATGGAGTGCAGGGTTTGAGGGGTGCACTTTGTATGGATTGCAAGGTTGAGAGGTGCGCTGTGTGCAGAGTGCAGGGTTGAGGGGTGCGCTTTATACGAAGTGCAGGGTTGAGGGGAGCGCTTTGTGCAGGGTTGAGAGGTGCACTGTATACAGAGGGCAGGATTTGAGGAGTGCGCTATGTATGGAGTGCAGGGTTGAGGGATGTGCTTTGTATGGAGTACAGGGTTGAGGGGTGTGCTGTGTACAGAGGGCAGAGTTTGAGGGGTGTGCTATGTATGGGGTGCAGGGTTGAGGGGTGCACTTTGTACGGAATGCAGGGTTGAGGGGAGTGCTTTGTATGGAGTACAGGGTTGAGAGGTGCGCTTTGTACAGAAGGCAGGGTTGAGGGGTTCACTTTGCATGGAGTGCAGGGTTGAGGGGTGCACTTTGTACAGAGTGCAGGGTTGAGAGGTGCGCTGTGTACAGAGGGCAGGGTTTGAAGGGTGCGCTATGTACAGAGTGCAGGATGAGGGGTGAGTTTTTTATGGAGTGCAGGGTTGAGGGCTGCGCTTTGTACAGAGTGCAAGGTTGAGGAGTGCACTTTGTACGGAGTGCAGTGTTAAGGGGAGTGCTTTGTATAGAGTGCAGGGTTGAGATGAGAATAAGGAGTCAATTAGGGCTGAATAGCGTAAAAAAAGGGTTAAAAAGAAACAGAAGAACAGGCCAGGTTGGTTTAACTGACATCATTTGCAGATCTAAGCATTTATATTTGATCTGCAGATGAATGAACGAAATGAAAAAAAAAAGTAATAATTAGTGACTTTATAGCTTTCTATATTCACTAATCTATAAACAAGTCACACTAATTTATAAACATTTCACACTAAACAATTCAGACTGCTTTTGACAGCTCCCAACACCTTCTCTGAGTATACAGTAATGCCGACTATGATTAACCAAAGCCAACAACTGCTATATACTGGGGGGGGGGGTCCCAGAAGCAGAGCAGAGAGACTGGGAGTACTACACACATCCTGTGTACAATGATGATGTTTTTTGGTGTGTGCAGCACACCCAAAGTCTGCAACTAGTTAAACAAATTTTGGCAGCTCAAGCGAACCATGTAAAAAGCACTTACACCCTTCAGGAAGGTAGCTTACCATTGCATATATGCATGTGCTGTATGTTGCTTTATAATAATGGAAGGTTGCGTATCAGTGTATGATAGGTTCAAAGTCATAGTCAACCTATGCTGTCTACTTGGTGCAGAGATAAGAACTAAAGCTGAGAAACCTATGACTGCTTTCCCTCTTTACTTTATTAAGATGTTCATGGACAATATTGTCCAGTTTGGAACTTTTGTCAGGTTCAGGTCATGTCGTCTCTCTTCATCTCAATAGGCAGTTTTACTCAATGATAAAGGACTGATACCTTGTTGATATAGCTCTGCCGGCTAGAGAAGTGCTGTGGGCTTTTTCTTTTTCCCCTTGCCATTGTGGTGCCGGATGCTGGGGGGGGGGAAATTGTGTGGTTTCATGCCCACTCTCCTCCTTACTTCTCCCCACCACTATGTGGCTACAGAGGTGGCTGTGGGGGGTTGCCTAAGCAGTGGAGCAATCAGCAAAGAGAAGGAGGAGGATCTTGGGATATGTTGTCCAGAGAATGCAGGGCTTGTGCCACAGAAATACAGTTAAAAAACTTCAATAGCCAGGATTCCTTGTATTATTATTATTATTATTATTATACAGTATTTATATAGCGCCAACAGTTCGCTCAGTGCTGTACATTACAATGGGAGACAATACATGAGACAGTACAATAACAATACAATGCGATACATGAGGGGTTCGAGGGCCCTGCTCCTTGGAGCTTACAATCTAGGAGGGAGGGAATAGTGGTACGGGAGAAAAAGCTGTGGGGGATGGAGTGGTAGGGAGAGTGGAGGAGATTGGAAATTAGCAGAGGGCAGGGTAGGCTTCCCTGAAGAGGTGGGTTTTCAGGTGCTCCTAAAGCAGAGGAGAGTAGGTGATAGTCTGATGGATTGGGGTAAGGCGTTCCAGAGGATGGGTGATGTCTTGGAGGTGGGCATGGGATGAGGAGACCAGGGAACTAGAGAGAATGAGGTCTTGTGAGGAGCGGAGAGTGCGTTTTGGGTGGTATTTTTGGATATTAGGTCGGTGATGTAGTTTGGGGCAGAGTTATGGACAGCTTTGTACGTCAGTGTTAGCATTTTGAATTTGATCCGTTGGGCAATCGGAAGCCAGAGGAGGGATTGGCAGAGGGGGGTGGCAGAAACGGAGCGGTTGATGAGGTGGATGAGTCTGGCCTCCATATTCAGGATCGACTAAAGCGGGGATAGCCTGTGGTGAGGCAGGCCAGTGAGGAGGCAGTTGCAGTAATCGAGTCGTGATATGATGAGGGAGTGGATGAGTTGCTTAGTAGTTTCTGGGGTTAGGAATGGGCGTATTTTGAAGATGTTGCGGAGGTGGAGTCTGCATGAGTTTGTTAGCGATTGGACGTGGGGCTGGAAGGATAGATTGGAGTCTAGAATGACACCAAGTACTCTGGCTTGCGGGGTGGGCCTGATGGTGGCATTCTTGGACATGATGGAGAAGTCAGTGGGGAGGGGGGGTGCGCGGGCTGGGGGGAAAACTAGGAGCTCGGTTTTGGAGAGGTTCAGTTTAAGGAAGTGGAGCGACATCCAATCTGATATGTCGTTCAGTAGGCTAGTGATTCGGGCGGAGTCTGAAGAGGTGAGGCGAGGGGGTCGAGAGATAGATTTGCGTGTTGTCAGCATAGAGGTGTTAGTTGAAGCCGTGAGAGTGTATTAGATGGCCAAAGGAGGAGGTGTAGATGGAGAAGAGAAAGGGCCCGAGGACAGAGCCTTGGGGGACCCCAACAGAGAGGGGGAGTGAGGAGGAGGTGGTAGCATTATAGGTAACGCTGAAGGAGCATTATGATAGGTAGGACGAGAGCCAGGAGAGAGTGGAGTCTCTGAGGCCAAGGGAGTGTAGTTTTTTGAGGAGGAGGGGGTGGTTGATTGTGTTGAAAGCCACGGAGAGGTCGAGGAGTAGTGGCCATTAGCTCTGGCGGTACACCAGGGGAAGAAAGCACAGAACATTTCCTGCGCATTTCTGCAAAGATTGGGGCAGTGCAGGATGGGGAACGAGAAAGTGCAGACCTGTTGCTGTTGGGGGTCTGTGCTCCCACTGACAGAGAAGGAGAGGACCCATTTGAAGACCGGAGTCCTGGGTGCTGGGACCGGAGCTGAATGGACCTGCTGCCCACACCAGACAGCATGAGAACTGAACCCCTATAGTGTCCATGTGCTGGATCAGAGCTGTGCTGACATTACAACCGTGTGTGTCCACAACAGAGGAGACTGAGCAAACTGAGGATTAAGAAGCTGAGAGATTGAGCCTTATCAGACTGGATTTGTTGTGTTCTTGGAGTGGTGAGCAGAATCAACTGAGCTTAACCCTTAATCTGGCAATGCGAATAGAGACTATTCCTTAAAGTGATTGAAAAGCAGTCCCAATCCTCCTCTTCTCAGGTCCCCGAACAGCACTCCTGGCTCTTCCTCTTAATCCAGTGCCTTACAGTGCTTCCTATGGTGGCACTCATGCGGGCTCGCTCCTGAGCCCTGCTGCCTGAATTCATAGACACAGACAGCGGGATCATGGCCCCGCCCCAGCTCCCTCATCACAGAGTTTGATTGACAACAGCAGGAGCTGATGGCTCCCGCTGCTATCGATCTGCCCAGTGAGGAGAGTCAGAGAGGAAAGAGGCCTTACTCTCATACACAGCGCTGGATCACAATGGGGCTCAGGTAAGTATAAGGGGGGAGGGGAGTGGGAGAATCAAGGTGCAGAAGGCTTTTACCTTAATGCATAGAATGCTTTAAGGTAAAAATAACCTTAAGGCTTTAGAACCACTTTAATTAGCAGTTCATCAGCCATCCATTGCACACTCTTAAAGGGACAGCTTCATGTGCACCACCTGCAGAACAGAAGGACCCATCAAACAAAGCGACTCCTTTGGGGGTGGCACTATAGAATATATTTGAACATAATGGTCACTAGTTGTTTATGAGAGAGATCATTCACCAAATCGGTACTGATAAAAAAATTATCATTTGTTCAATCATTTTTATTGGAGATAAAAAACCGGACACATCAAGAAATATACAGTTTCTGATAAAGAATTATCTAAAGTACCACAATGACCCAAGAGAAGTGCTCTGTGCCTACTGGATGCTCTAGAGATGAAACAGTTTGAGGAGCTCATTTAAAATTGTCTTTTAGATGCCAAGTGTAGAAAGAGGCCTTATGTAGACGTTGTAGTGTGATGCATTCACCTATAAGTTGGTAAAACTTTGAACAACTTAAAACTTTAGCATTCACTAATGTAGAGTTAAATGTTGTGTAAATTGAGTCAGCCATTGTTATCTATTGAAACTGAAGAGTACATAGCAGCATAGCTATGTTCTATGTCTTTTGTCTTGACAAAAAAATCGTACTTGAAGTTTAGCTGTATTTACATGCATACATGTATATGCTCCAGAAATATAACTCTTTTAACATTTCTATGTATGTATAATTTGTCGTTTCCAATTACTTTGTGTAAGGGGCCCACTGAACTTGAATTCCCCCAGTCCCCCCATGGTCTAATTCCAGCACTGTGCACATGTACTGGATACATGGAAAATGAGGGCTGAGTAAAACTGAGAGTTTTGATTAACTCAGAAAGT